CTTGGGGTTGTCTCTGTCATACAGGGGTATCCCCATGGTCTAAGGGGTGTCCCCATGGTCTGGGGGGTGTCTCTGTCATACAGGGGTATCCCCATGGTCCAGGGGTGTCCCCATGGTCTGGGGGGGTCCCCATTGTCCAGGGGTGTCCCCATGGTCTGGGGGGTGTCTCTGTCATACAGGGGTATCCGATGGTCTAAGGGGTGTCCCCATGGTCTGGGGGGGTCCCCATGGTCTGAGGGGTGTCCCCATGGTCTGGGGGGTGTCTCTGTCATACAGGGGTATCCCCATGGTCTAAGGGGTGTCCCCATGGTCTGGGGGTGTCCCCATTGTCCAGGGGTGTCCCCATGGTCTGGGGGTGTCCCCATTGTCCAGGGGTGTCCCCATGGTCTAAGGGGTGTCCCCATGGTCTGGGGGGTGTCTCTGTCATACAGGGGTATCCCCATGGTCTAAGGGGTGTCCCCATGGTCTGGGGGTGTCCCCATGGTCCGGGGCTGTCCCCATCTGTCCCCTGTCCCCGCAGGCACCCGCCCGGTGCTGCTGCAGCACCTGGAGCAGACGCTGTGGAGCAGCCGCCCCGCACTGGCCCGCGGGCTCCGGACCCTGGTGCACCCCATGCTGGGGGAGCTGCGCCGGCGGCACGAGGTGGGTGCCGCACATGGGGGGGGGTGTTTGGGGGGGGGGGCACCAGCACCCCCATTGACTCCCCCTTCCCATCCCGCAGGCCCAGCAGCGCCTGGCACGGTCCCTCTGTGTCGCACTGGATGCGGTGACGGCCGTGGTGACCGGGAGCACCAGCACCCGGTTCCGCCGGGGCTGCCTGCGCGCCATGCAGGTACCGGGAGGGGGGGGCACACGGACCCCCGAGGTGAAGGGGGGGCTCTGGTGGGGGGTCTCACCCCCTGCTCCCCTTCCTGGTGTCCCCACAGGTCCAGGACACCCCGGCTTTGGTGGCGGCCGCTCGGCGGAGCTTGGCTGAGGTCACCCACAGGCGGCTGCTGCCCGTCGGCTCCTGCGAGACCCCCGGGGCCCCCCAGGGGGGTGAGGGTCATGGCGGGGTGGGGGTTCACAGCCATCCCCCCAGCCCCACGGACCCGCCTTTGACCCCTCCCAGGGTCCCCATTGGAGCATCCCCGTGTGCGGAGCGGGCAAATGGAGGAGGAGGAAGAGGAGGAGGATGAGGAGAGGCAGGTGGGTGTCACTGGGTGGGGGCCCCCCCTTTTACTCCCCCATTAAACCCCATTGACACCCCCCCCATCCCGCAGGTGTTGCTGCAGGAGATGGCCCAATGGATGGCCTAAGGGACAGGGATGGAGCCCACCCCTCTGCCATGTGCCAGCCCAGTTCACCCAGTTCACCCGGTCCCAGCTGGTTCTGGCAGTCCCAGTCCAGTTCCCCCAGTTGGTCCCAGTTTCCTTTGTTGGTCCTAGTGCCACAGTTGCTCCCTGTTCTTCCAGTTGTTCCTAGTTTCCCCACTGGTCCCAGTTCTCCCAGTTGGTCCCAGTTCTCCCAGTCACTTCGAGTCCACCACTGGTCCCAGTTCTCCAGTCAATTCCAGTCCCCCACTGGTCACATTTCCCTACTGGTCCCACTTCTCCCAGTCAATTTCAGTTCCCCACTGCTCCCAATCCCCCACAGGTCCCAGTTCTTCCACTGGTGGCAGTTATCCCAGTCACTTACATTTCTCCCAGTCACTCCCAGTTCCCCACTGGTCCCAGTTCCCTACTGGTCCCAGTTCTTCCACTGGTGGCAGTTATCCCAGTCACTTACATTTCTCCTAGTCACTCCCAGTTCCCCACTGGTCCCAGTTCCCTACTGGTCCCAGTTAATTCCAGTTCCCCACTGGTCCCAATCCCTCATTGGTCCCAGCTCTCCCAGTTGCTCCCAGTCCCCCACTGGTCCCAGTTTTCCCAGTTGCTCCGTTTCGCCCCACTCGGTCCCAGTTCTCCCCCATATTTTCCCACTCAGTTCCCACGCCGTTGCCCCGCACCCTGACGCCCCGCCCCGGTAACCACGCTCCACCTCAAGCCCCGCCCACCTCAAACCGCGCCCATTTCTCCAATCCCCGCCCCCGCGCCCCCGCCCTGCAGCACCTGGCGCTGGCCCCGCCCCTCCAGCCCAGGCCCCGCCCCCGGGGCTGGCCCCGCCCCCCCGCCATGGCGCTGTCGCAGCCCGCGGGCGCCTCGTCCTGGGCCGCGGCCGCACCGGCTCGAACCGGGCCGGGCCCCGGAGCGGGCCCCGGAGGGGCTCCGGCCCCCGCCGCCGGCCCCGGGCCGTGCTGGGCCGCGGTGCTCGCCTGCCTCAGCCTGGCCTGCTCCTACGTGGGCAGCCTCTACGTGTGGGGCAGCCCCCTGCCGCGGTACGGGCCGGGGCGGCGCTGGGGGCGGTCTCGGGGGGGGCTGTAGGGTCCGTGGGGGTCTGTAGGGGATGTGGGGGGGTCTGTAGGGCACCGGGGAGGCTGGGCTGGGCTGTAGCGTACCCGGCGGGGTTTAAGTGGTACCTGGGGGGTGGAGTGCATTGAGGGCACTCGGGACGGGGGCTGTCGGTCATTGGGGGGTTATGGAGTACTGGGAGGGCTTGAGGGAGCTCCTTAGTGTCTGTGGGGTGGGGGCAATGCGGGGCAGCCCCTCCCACCCCCCCACTGAGCCCCCCCCCCCTTGGCCACAGGGACCATCCATCTGTCATCAAGCGGCGCTTCACCAGCGTCCTGGTGGTGTCGGGGCTGTCCCCGGCCTTTGTGTGGCTCTGGAAGGAGCTGACGGGTGTCAAGGTGAGTGGGGGGGGGCTGTGCCCCGGATGGGGGGGAGGGGGAACCCCCACATGTGGTGCTCACCCCCCCATTTCCTCCCCACAGCTCGACACCCCCTTGCCAGCACTGCTGGGGCTGCGCCTGGAGGGGCTGGTGCCGGCCACGCTGCTGCCACTGCTGCTCACCATGGTACGTGTGGGGCTGGGGGGGGGGCACCAGCCCCCTGATCACCCCCCCCCCCACAAGCCACCTTTAAGCCCCCCATGCCCCCCAGATCCTTTTCCTGGGACCCCTCATCCAGCTCTCCATGGACTGTCCCTGGCGCTGGCTCGATGGCATCAGGGTGGCTTTTGGTAAGGGGGGGACACAACTTCCAGGGGGGGACCCAACCAGGGTGCTGGGTAACGGGGGGCGGGGGGAGCTGTTGGGCATTGATGGGGTTTGGGGGGGGTGGAACTGTGGGGTCAGGGAGCAGTGAATGGGGCAGTGGGTTTGGGGGGCAGCAGGAGGAGGTTTGGGGTCCATCCTTCCCCCCCGAACCCCCCTTTGTCCCGCAGACCCCCGGTTCTGGGCGCTGTGCCTGGGGGACGTGCGCTGGCTGCGGAACCAGGTGGTGGCCCCGCTGACGGAGGAGCTGGTGTTCCGTGCCTGCATGCTGCCCATGCTGGTGCCCTGCACCGGGCCCGGCCCCGCCGTCCTCGCTTGCCCCCTCTTCTTCGGTGTGGGTGAGTGAACCCCATGCTGGGGACCCCCCCTTGGGCCCCCCAAACCGACCCTCACAGCCCCCTTCTCATCCCCCAGCCCATTTCCACCATGTCATTGAGCAGCTCCGGTTCCGACAGGGCTCTATCAGCAGCATCTTCATGTCAGCAGGTACTGCTATGGGGGCCCTGGGGGGAGGCAGGTACTGCTATGGGGGCCCGGGGAGGGGGGGTGGGAGGAGCTTGGAGGGGGGTATGGGGTGGTTGGGGCAGGGTAGGGTGCCTGGGGGGACACATAGGGTGACACATTTGGAGTGCCTGGGGGGCACATAGTGTTCTTAAGGGGGATTTGGAGTGCCTGGGGGGGATATTGGGGTGCTGGGGGAGGCACATAGGGTGCTCGAGGGAGACTTGGGCTGCCTGGAGGGGAGATACTGGGGTGCTGAAGGATAACTTGGGGTGTCTTGGGGGGAGATGTGGGATGCCTGGAGCAGTGTGGGGAGCCTGGGGGGGATCCCACACCCCTCCAAACCCCCTCTTCCTCCTTCCCAAAGCTTTCCAGTTCTCCTACACCGCCGTCTTCGGCGCCTACACGGCCTTCCTCTTCCTCAGGACAGGTAGGTGCAAGCCGAGGGGGTACAGCGGGTCCGGGGGGTGTCTCCATGGCTCTGTCGGTCTGTCCATCCCTCCCGCAGGTCACCTGGCGGGCCCGGTGCTGTGTCATTCCTTCTGCAACTCCATGGGCTTCCCGGCGGTGGGGGCGGCACTGGAGCACCCCCGGCGCCGAGCGCTGCTGCCCTGTTACCTGCTGGGGGTCCTGCTCTTCCTCCTGCTCCTGCACCCCCTCACCGAGCCGGCTTTCTTCGGGGGGACCCCGGCCTGTGCCCCGCGCCCCGGGGGCCCCCCTGCCTGCTCCTGACCCGGGTGTGGGGGCGCCCGCCCTGGCCCCCGCCACCCCCAAACCCCCTTTTTATAGGTGCCGCCGCACAGAGCTCTATTTTTGTGATTAAAGTGCTTTAAGCCTTCGTGTGGTGGGATTGAATGTGACTGGGGTGGATTGGGAAGGACTGGGATGGGACAGGGATGGATTGGGAAGGATGGGGACAGGACTGGGAGAGATTGGGAGAAGACCACGCAGTGTCTGTGGTCTACTGGGACAGAACGAAGCAGGACCTGGGGCTGATTGGGCTGGACTGGGATTCGGCCCTGTTATAACTGGGATGGGGCTGGGGATGGACTGGGGTTCATCCCCAGTCAAACTGGGATGGGTCCGGAGGCAGCTCCCGAGTTCCTCCTTCCCGCCAGGGGGCAGCAAAGGAGCGCGCAGACGCTCTGCCCCAGCAGATGCGCTGGTGACCACGCTCAGCCATTGGGCAGGCGACAGCCAATAGGAGCGCGGCGTGGGCGTGGCGCCAAGCCACGCCCCCTCAAGGACCACCCTTTTCCAGCGGTGCTTTATTCCCGCGCTGCACCACGTGACTGCCGTACACCCGCTCGGCCCCGCCCCCGGTCCCGCCCTCCCGCCGGCGCCCCCCGGGTCCTGCCGCCCGCCGGCCGGCCCCGTTAGGGGGGGTTGTCGCAGTCACGGTCGTGGTCGCTGTGGGCTCCGCCGCGGGTGGGCGGCCCGTGGCTGTGGGCCTTGCGGATATGGCGGTAGAGGTCCCCGGACTGGGTGTAGCTGCGCAGGCAATGGCGGCACTCGTAGGGACGCTCCCGCGTGTGCACGGTGGCGTGGCGCCGCAGGGTGTAGGAGCAGGAGAACGTTTTCCCGCACGTGGGGCAGGTCGGTGCCTCCTCGGTGAAGAGCCCGAAACCCCCGCGCCCCTCCAGCGGTGGCAGGAACAGCGGCTCCCGCAGCGCTGGCAGCCCGAATGGCAGCGGCTCCCCCGATGCCTCCCCGAAGGTCGCAGGCCGCGGGGCACGGGCTGGCGCCGGGAAGAGGCTGGCAGAGCGGCGGGTGCCCGCCTCGGGCTCCTCGTCGGAGATGACAATGGCTTCCACTTTAACAGCAGCAGGCAGCAGCCCCCCAGGGGCAGCGGGAGCCCAGGGCCCTGCGCAGAGCCCCCCCGGGGCGGGCAGCTCGCTCCCAGGGAAGGCGGTGCGAGGGGCGGCCTCCGTCGAGCTGCTGGGGCTGGGGAGGGGCAGCTCCGGTGCAGCAGCACGGGACCAGTCGCCCTCCATGCCGGGCTGCGTGGTGTCAGCCACATCCACGCGGGACACGGGCGGCTCGGGGGGGGGCAGTCCCTCCTCCCCACCATCCGCAGCCTCCGGGGCCGGGACGGGGGGGGGCAACAGGGGAGCCCCAGGGCTGGGTGGGCACTGCTGGGGGGCGGCGGGCGGCAGCGGGGGGCTGCCGGGGGCATCCTCCTCCCGCTTGGTGCTGTCGGCCTCAGCCGGGACCCGCGCCTGGAGCTTCTTCTTGCAGAGCTTGACGACGTCGTTCATGTGCAGGTAACTGGCGGCCGCCAGCACGTCCTCCAGCGGCGTGGCGGCCAGCGCCAGCCGCCCCTCGTACATGAACTCCAGGAGCAGCCCGAAGGCGGGCGGCGTCACGATCTCGCTGTTCAGGCACACCAGGTCGCCCTTATCCAGCCGCTCCGCGTAACACATGTGGAAGAAGGCGCTGCAGGCGGCCAGGACCGCGCGGTGCGCAGGGAACGGGGCGCTGCCCACCAGCACGGTGCAGTCGCAGAGGAAGCCCTGGGCCCGCTGCTCCCGCAGCCCCCGCAGCAGCTGCCGGCTGTGCTCGGGGAACTCCATGGTGTCCCGCGGGGCTCTGCCGGCCCTGGAGGGGGGGTGACAGCGTGAGGGGGGGCTGCCCAGGAGGCCCCTGTCAGCCCCGGTCAGCCCCAATACGGCCCGGTCAGCCCCAGCAGGACCCGGTCAGCCCCGGTGCGGCCCGGTCAGCCCCAGCAGGACCCGTTTAGCCCCGGTACGGCCCGGTCAGCCCCAGCAGGACCCGTTTAGCCCCGGTACGGCCCGGTCAGCCCCAGCAGGACCCGTTCAGCCCCGGTACGGCCCGGTCAGCCCCGCTGCGGCCCGCTCCATCCCGCTAGACCCGCCCCAGCTCCGTGATCCCCGTCCCCACTCACCACAAAGCGACGGCCTACCGACGCCCCGCCCCTCCGCGCTGATTGGCAGTCAGCTCGGCCAGCCTCTCCTGCTCTCATTGGTCAGATCACCTGCCGCTAAAAATGCCGGGACGATGAGGGTAAGAGGCGCCTGTTGATTGGTGGCTTCCCACTGTCACTTATAGAAGAGGGCTGCTGATTGGCTTCTGCCGAGAAGAGGCGGGCCGATGCGGCCTTGGCCGTGGTTGCTATGACCGCGGGGCGGAGCGTTGCCGGGGAAGCCCGCAGCGCGGGGGAGGGGGGGGGGGGGGGCAGGTCTCCGGGCAGTGCATGTGTTTTGATTGGGCGCTCAGGTGTGTCACTCATCTGTTCCGCGCTTTCATTGGTCTGCCTTTCCCCGTACAAGGTGTGCGCCTATCCCGCGCTCTGATTGGTGGGAGTTCCCTTCTGTCATACCGGGATGGAGAGGGGCGGGGCTATGGTCTCCATGGCAACCAAGCCGGCGGCCCGCTATGGGGGTGTGGCCGGGGCGGGGCTCTCCTCAGCCAATGGTACTCGCGGCGTGAGGCCAGGGGCGGGGTCAAGGGTCAGCTCCGATCCAAGATGGCGGCAGCGGCGGGGAGGTGAGCGTGCGCCGCGGGAACCGCGTCCTTCCCCCCCTCCCCCCAACCGGATCCCCTCCCCCCCGGGACCCGCGCACTGGGACGCCCCCACCCCCACCCCTTCGGGACCCCCAATCCCCCCCATCGCCCCCCCGGGGCGCCCCATTCCGCGTCTGGTCCCGGCACCGATGCCCCCCCCCCCTTGTCCCGTTTCCTCCCCCGTCGGTCCCGATCTGTTTCCGCCGCTTCCCCTCGGTCCGTTCCCCGCGGTGTCGGAGGCGGCGCCGCGGCCCTGCCCTTCGCCCCGACCCGCCCTGCCCGTCCCCCCGCAGGCGGCGGCCGGCGGCGCTGCTCTGCGCTGCGCTCTGCCTCGGGGCAGCCCTCGCCGTGGACCGCAGCAACTTCAAGACGTGCGAGCAAAGCGGGTTCTGCCGGTGGGTACCGGGGGGAGCCTGGGAGGGGGCAGCGGCCGGGCCGGGGCCGCGCTCAGCCTCTTTCCGCCCCGCTTCTTCCCTCAGGCGCCAGCGCGGCCTCAGCCCCGGGCAGTCTCCGTACCGAGCCCTGTTGGAGTCGCTGCAGCTCGGGCCCGATGCCGCCAGGATGCAGCTCATCAATGAGGCCACCAAGGTCCGGCCGGGGCCGGGGAGGGGGCTGCGGTGGCCGGGGCCGTCCTGCTGATACCGTGACCCCCGTCCAGGTCCCGCTGCTGCTGGAGCTGTGGGGGCTGCAGGGCAACATGACCCGGATCCGCATCAAGGAGCTGAACCCGCTGCGGCCGCGGTTCGAGGTCCCCGATGTGCTGGTGGCGGAGCCGCCGGTGGAGCGGTGAGCACCGGGATGGGGGGGACACGCAGGGACGGGGGGGTGCGGGGCCGAGGTGCAAGGAGCCGCTTTCAACACCCCCGTTCCCGGCAGGCTGGCGGTGACGGGGAGGGACGAGGGGAGCTTGGAGCTGTCGCTGGGCCCGGCGGGACACCGGCTGCTGGTGACGGAGAAGCCGTTCCGCATGGACCTGCTGCGGGGCCGGGAGCTGCTCTGCAGCATCAATGCCCGCGGGCTCCTCTTCTTCGAGCACCTCCGGCAGCGCCGGGACTCGTGAGTGTGGCTGGGGGGGGGCACCGGTTCCATCCCCACATTCCCACCCCATTGGGACAGCCAGAAAACACCCCCCCCCCCCCCCCCCATCCCCGGGGTGCCCCCGTTCCCTGCTGGACCCTTCCCAGTGAAGGTAAACCCCAGGGAAGGGGGGGAGCGGGGAGCAGCAGCGCTCTGAGGGTCCCCCCGAAAGGGAGGGCAGGCCATGGGGAAAGGGGCGGGGGGAAGCCGGGCCGGGCTGTGTCCGTCTGTCCGTCCGGCGCCTCCTTGCACTGACTCTTGGCTGTTTCTGTTTCTGGCTGCGCTTCCCCCCCTGCCCGCGCCCCAGTTTCTCGGATAAACTTAGTAGCTCGGTCGGTAGCTTGTGGGATAAGATCAAGACCCTTTTCCATAGGTAAATCTGTGGCTTCTGCTGCTGTCTCTGCCCCCCTCCACTCCCCTGCCCTCCCCGTGGGACCCCCCCCTACCCCAGGCTCCAGTGGGAGGGAGGAGGAGCCAGGAGCTGCTGGGGCCATCCCTGTCCCCCTAGAAGTGAGGAGCTGCTCCCCCTGATTGAGCTGGGGGGTGGTTGTTGGGGTGCTCCCCCCATCTCGGGTCCCCAATCAAGTGCCTTTGCGGGTGTCCTGTGTGTGTCTGTCTCTCACTGCAAACCTGCTGCGTGTCTCATTTGGCCCTGCAGTGACTGGGGTGCTCCAACACCCCATAACTGCTCCTTCCCCCCCCCAGGGACACCCCCAGGGAGCCCACAGCAGAGGAGGGGGCAGCTGCTGAGGGGCAGGAGGAAGCTGCTGGTGGGACGGAGGAGGCTGGTGACCAGAGCGAGAAGGTGTCACAGGGATGGGGGGCTCTGGGTGAGGGGATGGCGGCCAGCAGGGAGCTGGGCCCCCCTTTGTTTTGGGAGACCCCATTTCCTTACCCATCCCTTACCCACAGCCCCCAGAGGCTGAGACTGCAGAGGAGCCGGGCACCTGGGAAGAGACATTCAAGACGCACACAGACACCAAGCCCAATGGTGAGCCCCATCCTGTGGCTGATGGGGGGTGTCAGTGTGGGGAGTGGGGTCCCAGTTTCACCCCCCCCCCCCCCCGCTTTTCCCTCTCCCACCACAGGACCCACCTCAGTGGGGCTGGATTTCTCCCTGCCCGGCTTCGAGCACGTCTATGGCATCCCTGAGCACGCCGAGAGCCTGCGGCTGCGCACCACCGAGTGAGCAGCAGGAGGGCATGGGGAGGGGGGGGTGACGGTGGCATCAACCGGGGGGGGCACTGACCCGCTGGCTTCCTGCAGGGGGGGGGACCCGTATCGCCTCTACAACCTGGACGTCTTCCAGTACGAGCTCTACAACCCCATGGCCCTGTACGGCTCCGTCCCACTGCTCCTGGCACACAGCGCCCGCCGCACCCTCGGCATCTTCTGGCTCAATGCTGCCGAGACCTGGGTTGACATCAGCTCCAACACGGCCGGGAAGGTGCGGGGCAGGGGATGGGGGTCCTGGGGGGGGGGGGGGGGGGTGCAGTTGGGGTGCTGACACCCCCTTTCCGCTGCTGGCAGACGCTCTTTGGGAAGCTGCTGGATTACATGCAGGGCGGAGGGGAGACCCCGCAGACCGACGTGCGCTGGATGTCGGAGAGCGGCGTCATCGACGTCTTCCTGCTGCTGGGCCCCGCGCCTGCCGCCGTCATGGGGCAGTACGCTGCCCTCACCGGTACACCGCGGGCAAGGGGTGCACCCTGCACCACGCAGGGACCCCGTTCCGAGCCTCGCTGTGCCCCCCACAACAGGCACTCAGGCGCTGCCCCCCCTCTTCGCTTTGGGGTACCACCAGAGCCGCTGGAACTACAACGACGAGGAGGATGTGGCCGCGGTGGAGAGGGGCTTTGAGGAGCACGCTGTCCCCTGCGACGTGCTCTGGCTGGACATCGAGCACGCCGATGGCAAGCGTTACTTCACGTGGGACCCCAGCAAGTTCCCCCGGCCCCGGGCCATGCTGGAGCAACTGGCTGCGAAGAAACGCAAGGTGGGAGGCCCCAGCAAGGGACTTGGGGGGGCTGTGGGACCCCCCTCGGGGTGCTGACGTGGGTCTTTGTCCCCCCAGATGGTCAGCATCGTGGACCCCCACATCAAGGTGGACAGTGGGTACCGTGTCCACACTGAGCTGCGCTCGCGCGGCTTCTATGTCAAGACAAAGGATGGGAGTGACTACGAGGGCTGGTGCTGGCCGGGTGAGTGGGGCTGGGGGAGCCCTGGGGGGTTCTGGGGGGGTCACACTGACCCTGCGCTGTCCCCAGGCTCTGCTGCGTACCCCGACTTCACCAACCCTGAGATGCGTGCGTGGTGGGCATCCATGTTCGCATACGACCAGTATGAGGTGAGGAGTTGCTGCCAGCGGGTTTGTGCCCCCCCACCAGTGTCAGCCCCCCCCCAAGTCACTGTCACCCCCCCATTGCCCTTTAGCTCTCACAGCACCATCTCCCTGTATTGCTCGTGTCCTCCCGCAAGCTGCTGTGACCCCCTCTTCTCTGTTTACCCCCCCATGCCCCCCCCCTCACCATGGAGCCCCCCCCCAGGGCTCAACCGAGATCCTCTTCACATGGAACGACATGAACGAGCCCTCGGTGTTCAGCGGCCCCGAGGTGACGATGCACAAGGATGCCGTGCACCACGGCGGCTGGGAGCACCGTGACGTCCACAACCTCTATGGCCTCTATGTGGTGGGTAAAGTCCCCCCCCCGAACCCCATTTTGCCCTCCACCTTCATGGGGTGGGGGGGGGAGTCCATTATGGCCTCTTCCTCTCCTCTCCCCACAGCAAATGGCAACGGCCGAGGGGCAGATCCAGCGCTCGGGGGGGCAGCACCGGCCCTTTGTGCTGAGCCGCGCTTTCTTCGCCGGCTCCCAGCGCTATGGTGAGGGTTGGGGGGTGCCCCCCCCCCCCCGTCTCTTTGTGTCCCCCATCCTCTTCCTCACCCCCCCCTCCTCTCCCAGGCGCTGTGTGGACGGGCGACAACGCAGCCGAGTGGGAGCACCTCAAGATTTCCATCCCCATGTGCCTGAGCTTCGGGCTGGCCGGGCTGGCCTTCTGTGGCGGTGAGCGGGGCGAGGCTGGGGGGGGGGTTGCTCCATGTGCTGGGGGGGTCACCCTGAAGCCCTTCCTCCCCCCCCCCCCCCAGCGGACGTGGGGGGCTTCTTTAAGAACCCCGATGCGGAGCTGCTGGTGCGCTGGTACCAGGCGGGCGCCTTCCAGCCCTTCTTCCGCGCCCACGCGCACCTGGACACGGCGCGGCGCGAGCCCTGGCTCTTCGGCGAGGACAACGCGGCGCTGATCCGCGGGGCCGTGCGCCTGCGCTACGCGCTCCTGCCCTTCTGGTACACAGCCTTTTACCACAGCCACCACCACGGCCTGCCCGTCATGAGGTGAGCTCGGGAGCACAGCGTGGGGTGGGGCTGTGGTGGAAGGGAGCTGAAAGCTCCTCCGGATCCAGCCACGGGCAGGGACCCCTTGCACTGGAGCAGCTTGCTCCGAGCCCCTGTGTCCAACCTGGCCAGGGATGGGGCAGCCACAGCTCCTCTGGGCACCCTCACAGGGAAGAGCTTCTCTTAGATCCAACCTGAACTTCCCCTGTTCCAGTCTGACCCCATCAGCCCTTGTCCCATCGCTGCAGCCCCTGCTGAAGGTCCCTGCCCAGCATCCCTGCAGCCACCTTCAGAGCCTGGAGCTGCTCTGAGCTCTCCTCGCAGCTCCTCTCCTCCAGCCCCAATGTTCTCAGCCTGGCTCCTGGGGGAGCTGCTCCAGCCCCTGCTCATCCTCTGGACTTGCTCCAGCAGCTCCGTGTCCTTCCTATACTGAGGCCACCAGAACTGCACACAGGGGGGGGTCTCAAGAGAGCCGAGAAGAAGGGGAGAATCCCTTCCCTGAGCTCTGGGGGTGCAGCCCAGCACATGGGGGGGGTGGTTCTGGGCTCAGGCTCACACTGAACCCTGCTCATGAGGAGCTTCTCACCCACCAACAGCCCCAGGTCATCCTCAGGCTGCTCTGAATCGCTTCTCCCCACAACCTGTGCCCAACACATTCCCCCCCCTCCTCCTCCTCCCTAGGCCGCTGTGGATGGAGTACCCTGAGGACACCACCACCTTCGCCATTGATGATCAGTACTTGCTCGGTGAGAGGAGGTTTCCTCCCGTATTGAGGTGTCTCCACACGAGTCGGGGTCCCCCCACCCTGATGTTGACCCAGCACCCCCGTTCCTTCCCCAGACAGGGCGCTGCTGGTGCACCCCGTCACAGAGCAGGGTGCCCGTGGAGTGCAGGTCTACCTGCCCGGCAAGGGAGAGGTGAGGTTATGGGGGGGCTGCAGGCTTTGGGGGTGGGGGGAATTCAAGCTTTGAGGGGGGTTTGGGGGTCCATTGAACCTCCAACGCCTCCCTGGTACCCCCAGGTCTGGTACGACACCGTCTCCTACCAGAAGCACCATGCACCACAGACGCTCTATGTGCCGGTGACCATGAGCAGTGTGGGTGATGGGGATGGGTTGGGGGGTCCGGAGGGGTCTATGGGGGGGGGGGGGGGTTGAGCACACCTTCACGCCCCCGTTTCCCCCCGCAGGTGCCGGTGTTCCAGCGGGGGGGGACGGTGGTGCCACGGCAGGAGCGGGTGCGACGTTCAACCGAGTGCATGCGGGGGGATCCCTTCACCCTCTACGTGGCCTTGAGCCCTCAGGTCAGTGCAGACCCCCCCGGACCCCCCCCCATTGCCCCTGTAACCCCCCCTGAACCCCCCCATTGTCCGCAGGGCACTGCTGAGGGCGATCTCTTCCTGGACGATGGGAAGAGCTTTGAGTACGAGACAAAGGCGCGTTTCCTCCACCGCCAATTCACCTTTGCTGGCAACACGCTGACAGCCAGGTACCCCCAGCCCCCCCTCAAGGACCCCCCCATCCCCTCTGCACCCCCCAACCTCCTCCTCCTCCCCTGCAGCTCTGCAGACCCCCGGGGCTCCTTTGACACCCCGGTGTGGCTCGAGCGCGTGGTGATCCTGGGGGCAGCGAAACCTGGCACCGTCATTCTCCAGGCTGCGAGTGAGTTTTGGGGGGTGGGGGGGGTGTTGGGGGTCTCCCACCCCCAGGACCCCCCCTCATTTCCCCCGTGTGCCCCCCAAAGATGGCTCTGAGACGCGCCTGGACTTCCAGCACGAGGCTGAGCCCCCCGTCCTCACCGTGCGCAAGCCGGGCGTCCGCATGGGCGACGACTGGGCCATCGTCCTGCGATAATGCAGAGGGGGGGGCCGCTGCCGGGGGGGGGGGGGCTGCTCCTCACACCCCCCCCCCGCTCCCTCTGGGGCCCCCCCACAGCCTCTCTCCCCCCCTCAATCCCCACCCAGGGGCAGGGAGCTCCTGCTGCCCCCTTGGCTGCTGTAGTGGGGGCTGTCCCCCGGTTGGGCTGTGGGGCTGGGGGGGGGTCATTGTTTCTGCCCCCCCCCCGTTTTCCCCCCAAGCATGGGGCTGGGGGGCAAGGGCTGGTGGGGGATGGGGACCAAGGCTCTGTGTGCCCCCCCAGCCCTTCTTGTGCCTCAAACCCTCCCCATCCCCTTCTTCCTCTTTCCTTTCTCCCCCTGCCCTTAACCTGCAGGGGTCAGGAGGGGGGGTGAAGGAACCCCCCCCGTTTCTCTATGGGGCACATGAGGGTTGGTGGGGGCAGATCCGGGCCCCCCCCGCGGCTGGGCGGGGCCAGGGTGGGGGAGGGGTCGGCCCCGGGGGTAATTTTGATAAAAGACAAATAAAACCAAGGAAAAAATCCCAAATTCCGGTGTTCTGAGGGGGAGGGGGGCTGGGCACCACGCGGAACTCGCGGCCGGGGGAGCGCAGGTTCCGGCCGGACCCTGTGAGGGACGGACCACTACCGGAAGCGGTGTCCGGAGCGCGGTTGGGAGTGGACCGGAAGTGCCGGCCTGGCCAGGCCCGGCCCGGCCCGGCCAGGCGGAGGCTTCGCGGCCTGAAGCGGGTCCCGGCCTCGGCCCCCCCTCCTCCGGTGCTGGTAACGGAGCGCGGGGGGGAGCTACCGGAGGGGCCTGGCTTGTACCGGGGGGTACGGGGGGGTCTGAAGGTACCGGTGGTGCGGGGGGACCGGGAGCGCTGCGGGTGTGGGGCGGGTCATGGGGGGGGCGGGGGTGCTGCAGGGCGCGGTGCCCGAGAGCTGGGACCCCCCCGAACACCTCAACCCCCCCCCTCCAGCCCCCCCCGGAGCATCTGAGACCCCCCCGGGCCCCCCCGCCCCCCTCCCGGCGCTGCCATGAGGGTGAAGCTGAAGAACGTTTTCATCGTGTACTTCGTGGTGTCGCTGGTGGGGCTGCTCTGTGCCCTGCTGCAGCTCGGTGAGGGGGCGCGGGGGGGGCGCTGGGGGTCCCTGACCCCCCCCCAGGGCTTTGCTGGGGTCCCTGATCCATCCCCCCCCCCCCCCCAGGGCAGCCCTGTGACTGCTCCCAGCAGATCCAGGCCGAGCGGCGCCGGGGCCGGGACCGGCTGCTGGCGGAGCAGCGGAATGGGGGGACCCGGGGGGAGCCCCGAGCACAGGGGGGGGGCCAGGCCCTGCCCACCATCTACGTGGTGACCCCCACCTATGCCAGGTGAGACACCCCCAAATCCTCTACAGTCTGCCCAGTCCCCCCCGTAGCTCTCTATGGTCTGGCATGGCCCCCCCAGACCCATTTGCACCTCCCTTGGACCCCATATATCCTGATCTGCCCCCCATCGACACGTTTACATTCCTCTTGGACCCCATATAACCTGATCTGCCCCCCCCAACTCATTTGCATCCCTTTGGACCCCGTATAACCTGATCTGCCCCACCCAACCCATTTACATTCCCCTTGGACCCCATATAACCTGATCTGCCCCCCCCAACCCATTTACGTTCCCCTTGGACCCTATATAGCCTGATCTGCACCCCTCAACTCATTTGCACTCCCTTTAGGCCCTGTATAATCTGATTTGCTCCCCCCCAACTCATTTGTACCCCTTTGGACCCCATATAACCTGATTTACCCCCTGTCCCCTTTGCACCCTCTTCTTAAGTTCCATACAACCTGACCTGCCCCCTCCAGACCCATTTACCCACTGCAGAACCCAGCCTGCCCTCCCAGACCCATTTGTACCACCCCATAGGCCCCATCTAACTTATTCTGACCCCCCCAGACCCATTTGCCCCCCTTCAAACCTAACCTGCCCCCCCCATTCCCTGCTCCCTGCACCCCCCAGACCCATTTGCACTCCACAGCCTGGCCTGTTCCCCCCTCCCCACACTTCCTTGGTGTCACGCAGCCCCCCCTGAACCCCCCCTATTGCCTCCACCCCCCCCCAGGCCGGTGCAGAAGGCGGAGCTGGTGCGGCTGTCGCAGACCCTGCTGCACGTGCGGGCGCTGCACTGGGTGGTGGTGGAGGACGCTGCGGCCCCCACGGCGCTGGTGGCGCGGCTCCTGGCCAGCAGCGGGGTCCCCTTCACCCACCTGCATGTGGAGACCCCCCCCGAGAGCCGCCGCCGCCCCGGGGACCCCCCCTGGCTGCACCCGCGCGGCGCCGAGCAGCGGAACCGGGCCCTGCGCTGGCTGCGGGACACGAGGGCGCCCGGCGACGGCGGCGTCGTTTACTTCGCTGATGACGACAACACCTACAGCCTGCGCCTGTTCGAGGAGGTGAGGGACCCCATGAGCACCCCCAATGCCCCATCAGTGCCCCCTGAGCCCCCAGTGCCATCTGAGCCCCCCAGTGCCCCCTGACCTCCCCAGTGCCCCCTGAGTCCTCCAGTGCCCCCTGACCCCCCTGTGCCCCCTGACCTCCCCAGTGCCCCCTGAGCCCCCCAGTGCCCCCTGAGCCCCACAGTGCCCCCTGAGCCCCCCCAGTGCCCCCTGACCCCCCCAGTGCCCCCTGAGCCCCCCCAGTGTCCCATGACCCCCCCAGTGCCCCCTGAGCCCCCCAGTGCCTCCTGACCCCCCAGTGCCCCTGACCTCCCAGTGCCCCTAACCCCCTGTGCCCCCTGACCCCCAGTGCCCTGAGCCCCCCAGTGCCCCTGACCCCCGGTGACCCCCAGTGCCCCTGACCCCCAGTGCCCCTGAGCCCCCCAGTGTCCCTGACCCCCCAGTGCCCCCTGAGCCCCCAGTGCCTGACCCCCCCGTGCCCCCTGACCTCCCCAGTGCCCCCTGAGCTCCACAGTGCCCCCTGACCCCCCCAGCGTCTCCTGACCTCCCCAGTGCCATCTGAGCCCCCCAGTGCCCCCTGAGCCCCCCAGTGCCCCCTGACCCCCCTGTGCCCCCTGACCCCCCCAGTGCCCCCTGACCTCCCCAGTGCCCCCTGACCCCCCCAGTGCCCCCTGATCCCCCCAGTGCCCCCTGACCCCCCGTGCCCCCTGACCCCCCAGTGCCCCCTGAGCCCCCAGTGCCCCTGGGTGCCTCCTGACCCCCCCAGTGCCCCCTGAGCCCCCCAGTGCCCCCTGAGCCCCACAGTGCCTCCTGACCCCCCCAGTGCCTCCTGACCCTCCCTGTGCCCCCTGCCCCCCCATACCCCCTGACCCCCCCAGTGTCCCCTGACATTCCATGAGCCCTTAAATACACCCCAGTGCCCCCTGAATGCCCTCAGCACCTCCTGAGCCCCCCACTGACTCCTGACCCTCCATAAACCCTTGAATACACCCCTTGCTCTTGCTGATCCCCCTCAGCACCCCTTCACCCCCCCACAATCTCCTGATCCCCCCAGCAATCCCTGACCCCCCTCAGCACCTCCTGATGCCCCATGAACCCTTAAATACACCCCCAAACCCCCCCCCCCCCCCCCGAGCATCCTGACCCCAACCCCCACCATGCCCTTATACCCCCCAGAGCATCCTGATCCCTTCCAGCATCCCCTAATCCCCCCCTCTGGAGCCCTGAAACATCCCCCCAGAGCTCCCTAAAACCCCCCAGAACCCCTTAAATCCCCCTCCAGAGCCTCCTCCTCCCCCTTGAAACCCTTAAATCCTCCTCAGCACCCCCTAAACCCCACAGAGCCCTTAAATACTCCCCCCATCACCCTGTAACTCCCCCCTGGACCCTTTAAATACCCCCCATCACTCTGTAACCCCCCACAGACCCCTTAAATACTTCTTCTATCACCCTGTAACCCCCCTGGACCCTTTAAATACCCCCCATCACCCTGTAACCCCCCCTGGACCCTTAAAATACCCCCCATCACCCTGTAACCCCCCCTGGACCCTTAAAATAACCCCCATCACCCTGTAACCCCCCTCCGGACCCCTTAAATACCCCCCATCACCCGGTAACCCCCCGCTAGACCCTTTAAATACCCTCCCCCCATAACCCTGTAACCCCCCCTAGACCCTTTAAATACCCCCCATCACCCTCTAACCCCCCCTAGACCCTTTAAATACCCCCTCATCACCCTGTAACCCCCCCCCGGACCCCTTAAATACCCCCATCACCCGGTAACCCCCCCCTAGACCCTTTAAATACCCCCCCCCATAACCCTGTAACCCCCCCTAGACCCTTTAAATACCCCCCATCACCCTCTAACCCTCCCTGGACCCTTTAAATACCCCCCATCACCCTGTAACCCCCCCTGGACCCTTAAAATACCCCCCATCACCCTGTAACCCCCCACTTGACCAGTTAAATACCCCCTCATCACCCTGTAACACCCCCCCCGGGGACCCCTTAAATACCCCCCACCCCCCCATCCTCCTAACCCCCCCCCCCCCGTTCCCCACCTCACTGCCGCTCCCCCCCCGCCCCCCCAGATGCGCAGCACCCGGGGGGTGTCGGTGTGGCCCGTGGGGCTCGTGGGGGGGCTGCGCTTGGAGCGGCCGCTGGTGTCGGGGGGCCGGGTCGTGGGGTTCCACACGGGCTGGAAGCCGGAGCGCCCCTTCCCCATGGACATGGCCGGGTTCGCCGTGGCGCTGCCGCTGCTGCTGGCGCGGCCCGAGGCGCGCTTCGACCCCCGCGCCGAGCGGGGCTACCTCGAGAGCAGCCTCCTGGGGGCGCTCGTGTCCCCCGCGCAGCTCGAGCCCAAGGCGGGGAACTGCACCCAGGTGGGAACGGCGGCGGGGTACGGGGGGGGCTGGGCTCATAGGGGTACAGTGGGGGGATCATAGGGGTGCAGTGGGGGCTCATAGGGGTACATTGGGCTCATAGGGGTACAGTGGGGGGCTCATAGGGGTACAGTGGGGGGCTCATAGGGGTACAGTGGGGGCTCATAGGGGTACAGTGGGGGGCTCATAGGGGTACAGTGGGGGCTCATAGGGGTACAGTGGGGGGCTCATAGGGGGGGGAGCTGAGGGCTCATAGGGGTACATTGGGGGGCTCATGGGGTACAGTGGGGAGCTCATAGGGGTACAGTGGGGAGCTGAGGGCTCATAGGGGTACATTGGGGGGCTCATGGGGTACAGTGGGGAGCTCATAGGGGTACAGTGGGGAGCTGATGGGGTACATTGGGGGGCTCATGGGGTACAGTGGGGAGCTCATAGGGGTACAGTGGGGAGCGGGGGGTTATACATTTGGGGGCTGGGGGCTCATAGGGGCACAGTGGGGAGCTGGGGGCTCATAGGGGTACATTGGGGGGCTGGGGGCTCATAGGGGTACAGTGGGGAGCTGGGGGCTCATAGGGGTACATTGGGGGGCTGGGGACTCATAGGGGTACATTGGGGAGCTGGTGGGCTCATAGTGGTACATTGGGGGGGCTCATAGGGGCACACTGGGGTGCTCGGGCACAGTGGGGAGCTGGGGGGCTCAGGGGTACAGTGGGGGGATCATAGGGGTACATTGGGGGGCTCATAGGGGTACATTGGGGGGCTCATAGGGGTACATTGAAGGGCCTGGGATTTCATAGGGGCACAGTGGGGCGCTGGGGGGGCTGGAGTCTCACAGGGGCACATTGAAGGGCCTGGGATTTCATAGGGGCACAGTGGGGTGCTGGGGGGGCCGCAGGCCGCAGTGGGGGGGTCCAGCCCCATTGCCCCCCCAGGTGCTGGTGTGGCACACGCGGACGGAGAAGCCGAAGCTGCGGCAGGAGGAGCAGCTCCAGCGCGAGGGACGGGGCTCGGACCCACACATCGAGGTGTGAGGGCCCCCCCCGGGGCCACGCTGGATGTGGGGGCCCCCCCCGGGGACACTCGGCCTTTATTTATCACGGGGGATCCCCCGTTTCAACGGGGGCTGCCCCATGGAGCGATGCCTCCATAATAAACATTCCTGATTCATCCTCACCCGTGTTTTTTGGGGTTGTCACCCCACTGTGGGTGCCTCATACTGGGGGGGGGATGCTGCATGCCCCCTCCCCAATGCTCGGGCAGAGAGAGGCGGGGGGGGGGCATGTATACCCCAAAAACAAGGGGGGGGTCCTTAAGTCCAGGAGGAGTTCCTGGCATCCCCCCTCCCCAGCGCTATGGGGGGGTCTCTGACCCCTCTGTACCTGCCCCTGTGCCCGGCCCAGCAGGTAACAGAACTCAATGCACTGGGACCTTGGGGGGGGGGGGGGGTCAGGACCTGAGGGGGTCCCCAACATCCCCCTTTGGCCCCCTCACTGGTGTAGTGGTACCCAGGCAAGGGCTCTGCTGTCCCCAGCAGCTCCAGTGTGCACTGGGGGGGGGGGAACAACACAGGATGGGTTGGGGGGTGCTGGGGATGGGGGGGCACCCCAAAATCACACCCACACCCCTCCCCGGCCCCCCCTCACCATCAGGCTGCCACTGGCCTGGGTCAGGCAGTGCAGGGCCAGCTCCTGGTTTGTGCCCCCCCCCACAGGCAGAGCACTGGAGCAGGCCAGGTCCAGCAAGGTCTCCACTATGGGGGGGCCAAGGGGGGGGGGGGACAAGAAGGACCCCCCCCATTGACCCCAAGCAGTAAGGGGGTGGGGGGGTCTCACCTTGCTGCTGAGTTTCGGGGTCCCCCTCCAGCCCTGGCCAGGGCCTCCAGGCCAATGTGGCCCCCCCAGAGGGGTCCTGCCTGCAGCTGCCTGGAAGCTGGGACCCACATTGATCTGCTGGGGGGGGGGGGGCACACAAAACAGGGGGTGTCGGGGCAGCCCCCCCTTTCTCTGCGACCCCCCCCCGGACCCTGGTGTCTGGCTCCTCTCATCTCAGGGGGAGCAGACCCCTGCCATGGGGGGGCTCAACTCACAGCCCCCTCCCCCCAGCCATGGTAAAGGCACCCCCCAAGTCTCTGTGGGGCTGTGAATGGGGGGGGGTCAGGGTCACACTGAGCACCCCCCCCCCCAAAGCAAGGCCTCAGCAGCCCAAACACCCCCCCCCCCCGCTCCATCACCCCTTGATTCCCACCCACAGGACCCACCATAGGAGGGATGTGGGGGGATGCTCTCAGCATCCGGGGTACAGGAGAGGGGGTGTCCCCCCCCCTAGGGTCACCCCAAGTGTTCGGGTCACCCCATGGACCCCATTGCCCCCCCCATACCTGCTCCCCCTGCCCCTGGCTAAGGTGGGACCCAGCGGAGGGCAGCAGAGGCTGCTCCCTGTGTTACTGCGCAGGATGGGCAGAGCGGGGCACCCCCATACCCAGCACCCCCATAGACACCCCACTTCCAGCCCCTTGGGTGAGCACTGGGGCTGATGTGGGTCCCGCCCCTGGTTTGGGGGTCCCACTGCCGGGTGCTGCCCGTGCTGCGGTACTGGGGCGCCCATCGCACCCGTGGGGGGGGTGGGGTCTGCAGCACCCCGCGGTTATGGGGTGCACCCCCCCTCCTTGGCCAGCTCAGCCATTCAGACCTGAGCCACCCCCACCCCCCCAAAAGTGGGGCAGGGGTTGCTGGGGGTCCGCAGCCCCTCCTTAAGGAGATTTAATGGGGGGCAGACCCCATCGATGGCGGGGCCGGGCCGTTCCCCTCACCCCACACCTTGGGGTCACTCGGGGGGGGGGGATGGGATGTGGGGGGCACCCTCAATGGGCTCCCATGGGGGGGAGGGGGTGTCAGTGGGTGCCCCCAGGCCTGGTCCGGCCCCACGGAGGCGGCGGAGGGGAAATGACTCGCGCGGGCCGCGGCGCTTCCTGGGGCGGTGAAGGCGGCGGAGCCGCGGCCTGGCCCCGCCATGGAGCCCGAGCGCGGCCCCGGCGGTGAGCGCGGCCCCGCAGGGGTTAACGGGGAGGGGGCTTCGAGGGGGGGGAGGGGGGATGCGCTGGGACCCCCGCGGTGTCCCCCCCCCACCAGAGACCGGGATGGGACCGGGGGGGGAGATGGGGGCAGAGGAGCTGGGGGGGGGCCGGGTCTATGGGGTGCGGGGAGCAGCGGGGTCCAGAGGGGACGTGGGGCTTGGGGGGGGTCACAAGGGGGTGCTGAGGGTGACATTGGGGGTCACGGGGGGCACAGGGGGTCACACAGTGGGGTGTCGATACTGGGGGTCACAGGGGGGTGACATTGGGGTGCTGGGGAGATCACACGGGGGTGCAGGGGGGTGATATTGGGGGTCACAGGGGGTCACACAGGGGTGCTGCTGGGGGGTCACATAGGGCGCACACGGGGGTCCCCAGGAGTGATACGGGGGGGCACAGGGAGGGTGACATTGGGGTGCTGGGGGGGGTTACAGGGGGGTGCTGGGGGGTGACATTGGGGGTCACGGGAGGGCACAGGGGGTCACACGGGGGTGATGCTGGGGGATCACACAGTGGGGTCCCCGGGGGGTGATACGGGGTGTCACAGGGGGGTGACATTGGGGTGCTGAGGGGATCACACGGAGGTGCTGGGGGGTGACATTGGGGGTCACAGGGGGGTCCCCGGGGGTGATATGGGGGGCACAGGGGGCGTGACATTGGGGGTCACGGGGGGGTCACAGGGGGGTGACATTGGGGTGCTGAGGGGATCACACGGGGGTGCTGGGGGGTGACATTGGGAGTCACAGGGGGGTCCCCGGGGGTGACATGGGGGGCACAGGGGGCGTGACATTGGGGGTCACGGGGGGGGCACGGGGGGGGTGACATTGGGGTGCTGAGGGGGGTTACAGGGGGGTGCTGGGGGGTGACATTGGGCACAGAGGGGTGATGGGGGGGGTCACACTGGGGGGGTCACGGGGGGGTCACGGGGGTCTCACGCCCTCCCCGTGTCCCCAGGCAGCCCCGCGGCCCCCCCCTGCCCCTCGGCCCCGCTGGAGCCGCGGCTGCGGCGGCTCGAGGAGGAGCTGGCGCTGGTGCGGGCGGCGCTGGCGGACGCGCTCCGGCGCCTCGGCCTCTACGAGCAGCACCTGCCCGGGCTGCTGCGGCTGCTGCCCCGCGGTGAGCCCCGAACCCCCCGCACACAGCGGAGCCCCCGCCCCGCCCCGCTCTGACCCTGCCCTCCCATAGCAGCCAATGGAGCCATCCCGGAGCCCTGCCCGCAGCCGGACCCCAATGGGCTCCCCTTGACCCCCCCTGGGCCCCCCCAAACCATCACCGTGGGGACGCAGACGGAGACGGCGCCGACGCTGCAGGAACGGCCCGGAGCCAGCGCGGAGCAGGGGGTCCCGCAGGAGCCGCCCCCCCCGGGGTCACCCCCGTGCCCCCCAGCACCCACCCCAGCCTCGCCGGAGCCCCCTGCTCCTGACTCGCCCACAGCAGCGCCCATCCTGGCCCCACGGGGCGCCCACAAAGAGCTGTGAGGATGGGGGGGCCCCTATGGCTTGGGGAACTGAGGGGGTGGGTGAGGGTCTGGGTGCTGGGGTCCACTGGTGGGGAGCTGTGGGCAGAGGGGCTGGGTCCATGGGGAGGAAGCTGTTGGGGTTAGCGTGGGATTTGGAGGGGTAAATGAGAGGTGGAGGGGGTGAGAGGCCTTCACTGATGGTGTCCCTCTGTCCCCCCCTCCCCTGTGTCCCCCCGTGTCCCCCCCGTGTCCCCCCGTTGCCCCCCAGCCTGCGCAGGCACAGCTCCTCCTCCGGCAGCGCCAGCCCCCGGCAGCGCCTGAGCAGGAAAGCGGCTTCATCCGCCAACCTCCTGCTGCAGGCGGGGAGCCCCGAGAGGTGGGGGTCCCCCTTGCACCCCCAAACCCACCGTGTACCCCCGCAGGCCCCCCCACATCCCCTCTGCACCTCAACCCTGCCTGCACCCTCCCATCCCCTATGCACCCCCCCAGGCTCCCTGCATCCCCCCACCCCTCCCTGCACCCCGCTGCACCCCGCTGCACCCCCTCCGCACCCCTTCACCCCCCCCCACTCCCCCGTTGACGCCACCTCTCCCTGGCAGCCGTCCGAAGGAGCCCACCCAGAGCCCAGGTGGGTGCTGGGGGGGGCGGTTTTGGGGTGCGGGTGGGGGGGTGCAGTGCTGGGGGGGTCTCATGGTTTGGGTCTGACCCCATTTCCCTCCCCAGGGACGCGCCGTGGGAACTACAACCTGGGTGAGGCTTGGGGGCATCTGCCCATGCCCCCACCTGCCCGTGGGGCTGGGGGCCGTGGGGTGACCCCCGGTGTCCCTGCCCCACAGAGGGGGTGTCGGTGAAGATGTTCCTGCGGGGCCGCCCCATCACCATGTACGTGCCCTCGGGGCTGGGCCCCTATGGGGGGCTGCGGACGGAGCTGCCCCCCGAGCGCCTCCAGCTCGACTGGGTGTATCCTGCACTGGGGAGCGGGGTCCCATCCATCCATCCCTGTGTGTGTGTCCCCACAACCTGGGGGTCCCCATCCCTGTTCCCATCTGGGTGCCTCTGTCCTTCTCTGGAGATCCCCATCCATCTCTGGAGGTTCCCTTGGGGGGTCCCCATCTCCATTCCTCTCTGAGGTCCCCATTTGGGGGTCTCCATCTCTAGGGGTTCCCATGTGGGAGTCCCCAGTTCCATTCATTTCCAAGTTCACCATCTGGGGGTCCCCATTCCCATCCCTCTCTGCGGGCTCCTATCCCTGGCTTCCTCCCCATCAGATTCTGAGGGTCCCCATCTCCAGCGGTTCCCATGTGGGAGTCCCCAGTTCCATTCATTTCCAAGTTCACCATCTGGGGGTCCCCATTCCCATCCCTCTCTGTGGGCTCCTATCCCTGGCTTCCTCCCCATCAGCTTCTGAGGGTCCCCATCTCCACCTGGGGGGTCCCCTCTCACCCCCCACACCCGTTGCACCCCTTAACGGGTCCCAGCTACGGGTACCGGGGCCGGGACAGCCGCTCCAACCTGCACGTGCTGGCCTCGGGCGAGCTCGTCTACTTCATGGCCTGCGTGGTCGTCCTCCTGCACGTGCCCCTGCGCCGGCAGCGCCATTACCTGCGCCACAGCGACT